GTGATTTTGTGATGAATTATACGTGTTTCTTCGTTCTGGTGATCTTCCTCTATAACTTGAGTTATATGGTGATTGATTTCTTGTATAATTTGTATTGTTCGGGAGTGGTTTTCCTGAACTGTTGTTGCTGTGGACTGTTTTGTTCGGTAGATTTTGATCTTTTTTCATGTATTGATAGAATGATTTATTTGGTTCTTTATATTTTTGAGGTTTATTTTGATTGTCTTGCTGTTTTTGTCTACATTCGGAAATACTATGTCCGTATCGTCGGCAATAATTACACCATTTTTTGAAAGATGGTTTGCCTTTTAAGTTTGGGTTCTTTTCGTAGATATTGAGTATTTCAGTGATTTTTTCAACGAGGTCTGTCTCTGATTCCTGTATATTATTAATATTAGTGGGAGTCGTTTCAATTCTGTTAACGTATTGTAATTTCAGATTTTCCGTTTCTTCTAGTTTCATCGTGATTTCTGCTTGTTCTAATTTGTCTACTAGTTTTCGAAAATCTAAATCGGGTTCTCGAATTGAAGAAGGATGTGATGCTCTCTTTTTTATTGCTATTTTCCTTAATTGTGGTGTTAAGGTCATCATTAAGATTTCTGTCATCTTTGTGTTTTTATAGTCATGTGTATTTAATGAATATGCTTTTCGAACTAGTGTTTCGATTCGTACTGCTATTTGCTTGATGGTTTCGTTTGGTAATCTGCGAATTTCATTACATAAAACTCTTTGTTGTTGTTTGTTTCTTTCGGAGTCAAACATTTTTGAAAATTCTTGTGTAAACCTTTTCCAGTTTGATTTTACTTCTAGAGGTAGTACTGAAAACCATTTTTGGGCTGCGCCATCTAAGGTTGTTTGTATTAACGCTGTGCGTCGATGTATCCAGTTTTGATGTAGTGGCGTATTAATTGGTTCAGGTCCTATATTTAAAATCAAATTTGCTGTTACTGCATTTAAATAATCTTCTACAGAGTATTCAGGGTCTGTTCCTGTGAAAACCATTAAAGGTTTGTTTGATGTTATTCATGATCCACCCATAAGGTATGGATTCATTGTCATTTGTAATGATTCTGCTGCATTTGGCATTTGAGAAAAATTTGAAAGTTGGTTTCTTGTTATCTCATGTTGTTGGAGATAATATGGGAGTGGTATTTCATTTTGCATTTGTGATGGTTGATACGAGTGTGCAGTCATTGGATTTTGTTGTTGAATTGGTTGAAAAGATTGTGTATTAATTGGATTTTGTTGTTGAATTGGTTGTTGATTTTGTGCATCTATTGGTTGTGGAGAAAAATTTCTATGATTTGTACGTGTTCTCTGTATTCCTTGTTTACGATATTCTTGAGTATTTTGTGCAAATATATCTGGTTGTAAGAAATCATCATCTGAGGATAAATAATCCATTTGATAAGATGTCTGTTTTTTATTTTTATTTTGTTGAAAAAATGGGTAATTTTCACTGTGATCCCGTGGAGGATTTGTTTGGAAATTTGTTGAATTAGGTTGGGCCATTGGGTTATCCCAATTTCGAGATCTTGTATATTGGTTAAAATTTCTTTGTGGTTGATTATATGTTTTTGATGGATGTGTATAATTATAATTATGGTCTGCAAAGTTGTTTCTAGTGAATGTTTTGCGTGTTTTTGATGGTATTGTCATGGGTCTGTATGTTTGGTAATCCATATGTGAATATTTAGGGGCAACCGAAGGTTTAACGGTTGATTGTAAGGTTACCTGTGTTTGTGAAGGATTTGTATTTCTTGGTGTTGTTAAATTTGGGCGTATTGGTGAAATACTTTGTTGTGTAGTTGTTGTGTGTACAATTTCTTCATTTATGAAGTGTGATGGTGTCTGGATATCTTGTTGAGTAAGATTCCTAGTTCCATTGAGGTTTTCATTGTGTATAACTGTAGAGTTTAAACTATTATTTTGTGTATCGGGTAAAAATGTATTATAGTTTAATGGTGTTGCATCAATTGTTAATGGTATTACTCTTACATAATCTCTTATGTAAGATATTGTACCTATTGCTTGACTTGAGATTGATTGTGGAAAGCTTATAAATGCGGGATGAGACCATTCGGGGTCCCAAACATAATCTGATTGTTCTGTGATAGCGGTATCATCGTTCGAGTTTTGGGGTCTAAAATTTTTTCTTGCTTGTGCAATTAAATCAATATTGTGTGTGAAATAATCTATTATGAACCATGCCAAAATTTTTTGTAGATCGTGTTTTGTATGTTGTGAAACGTCGTCTTTCGTGAAATTTTCTTTAATGATGTTTAAATAACTAGAGAGTAGTGTGATTTCATGTCGTACTTTCAAATGTTTAGATGTTTCTGTCGGTGAGACATTTGTTATTGGGATTTCGTTTTCTAATATCGAAATATAACTATATATTATTGTGAAAACTTCATTGGTGACTATGGAGTTTGCTCTTTGTGAGTTATGATATTGGATGCTTTTTATATATTCTGAAAAAACTTTTGAAAATTCTAAATCAAGGTCGTCTGTTTGAATTGTATATTTTCTATTATTATGGTTTGGTGAGGTAAATTCTATGGAGTAGATTCCATACTGTTGTGTTATGTTGCATATATCTTTTAGATAGTGATCTATGATTTGTCTTTTGATTTTTACATCGGGGAACTCTGTTTTACATGGACTGATTCCGGGTTCAAATAAATTTACGAGTAAATTTTGACAAAATATGTGTTGTCCTCTATCAGTATCTGCGTCTACTATAAAAGGAAAGATTTCATCATCATCTGGAGTTTCTTCACCTGGGGTGTGTGTTGAACTCATTTTCCCGTTCGATGACTGTTAATATGTAATTATTAATGTGTCGAATTGGTTGATTCCAATTGTATAGATGTACTGGTTTGTGTTTGTACTGCTTTTTTATTCTTCTTTTTCCTCTTTGTGATGAATTTGAAGTTGTTTCTGAGTCAGAAAAATATAATTGATCGTGAATTGGGCAATTTTTATCTATTGATTCTTTTAGTTTGTAAAGTTCGTCTAAACTGTTGGTTTCTGATTCTGAAAATGCGTTTCGATTTTTTGAAAATCTTTTTCGTGTTATTTGTCTTTGTTTAGTTATTATTTTTCTCTTTAGTGTTTGTCGTTTTGTTCTAATGTATCCAACTGTTTGTGTATGAGGTGTGATTACAAGGTCGTATTTTTTGTTATCTATTTCACAATTGTGTAAAACGATTGTTTGTTTATTTCCTAGGTTTTTAAATGACATAAGGTTTAGAATGACGGATGCAAAAGGTTGTTAAATGATTTCTATTTTCCTAAACTGTTAGTTCTTACGATTTTTTGGTTAGCTTAACCTGGGTCTGTTTGTTCAGGGTTGGAGAGAAAAGTATATCGATTCCGAAGAATGATTTTTTACTTTCTCGTGGCTAGTATAAGTTAAGGTGTTAACTTACTTAATCTTACTTAGGGGTAGTGATTGTGTTCAAGGGTTGGAGAATAGTAAATCGATCCACAAGGTTCAGGTATAATTAGAACGCGAGTAGTTCGTTAGATACTATTTTAAACTTACTAAGTCTAAGATTTATCCTGGGTCTGGTAAGAGGGGGGGTCAAGTGAAGGATGAATAACCGAAGTTCTTCACTGTTTATCCTAATTTGAATGATTAGTTTTGTTTAAAAATTTCTATTAGTCTTGGGTCTTTAGAAAGGGTTGGGTAGTGAATCGACGTTTGAGGTCGTTAGACACTAATTAAGTAGGTGGGGGAGAACAAAGTTGTTCTGTTTGATCCAAGGATAAGCCTTGATGATCAAATTTGAAATTTAATTAAGTAGAAAATGATTTAAGATCCAAGGATAAGCCTTGATGATCTGGTTTTAAAATTAAGTGAATTTAAGTTTTAATAAAATTTTAAATGTGTGTAAAGGAAAGATTTAGTGTTTTGATGATATTAGTGGGTTTATGATTGCTGTTATGTTTTAGGTGATGGAGCTGGAACAACAGGATGATTTATGATTACTAACCATTTATTGTCATGCTACTAATTTTTATTTTTTATTTTTCAATAAATATTTTTCAAACATGTTTTGTATAATACTGCAGAGTTTTAGGAAAACGATCTTAGATCTTTTTATCAATCGTTATTGTATATTAATAATTTTGTTTAGCGCCTGAAATGATTTTGAAGATTAACTTCAAGGTTTTATGTTTGCAAATGAAAATCTAAATTCATTGCCAGTAGTATTCGAAATATAAAAGTTTGTTCTGGCTTTTGCCGAACTATCATATAACTATACGGCAAGTTTCTACTTTGTCGTATGTCGTCTTTGGTTCGAGGTCTTCTTCCAATTCCGGGTAGTTCTGTTATGGTTCGGAATATTGGCTCTGATCTATTGAGTCGGAGAGACATTTCAATTAAATTATTGTCGTATAACATTTTGTAAATGTTTTTGTCTAATTTCTAATCTATTTTGGTTAATTCTAATCTATTAAGGTCTTGTTCGAGACTTATGGTCGCACCAGATGAGTTAGGACCGAAGTGTAACTCATAGAGTAATTTCGGATAGGGTACACCGTCTGCTCGTCACGCTATCTTATTTTCGGCCGGATAGATTCGTGCAACTTCTTAGTCTAATACCGATCCTAATCTTACTCTTATACTATCTAGTCTCAGGTTGTTTAACTAGTCTCTGCTAGGCTCAATAGATCTAGGGTATACTGGTTTATTGCGGCTGCTGAAGTGCTCGGGAGAGTCCAACTAATTTCTAAGTTAAATTCAAATCTCTCTGGTGCTGAAATTACAAGTAACTTCAGCACTTACAAATAAGTGGGTTGTTAGTTAGATGGATTGTGATTGGTTAATATTAAATACTTTACATTGGTAAAACATTTAATTTATCCAATCATAAAATATAGTTTAGATCAGGTTCCAGTAGTACAAAAAAACTACCAGTGGCTTGTTTGTTGGGTTTAGTTTTTGCGAACCGATATCATGACATAATTTGTTTTCATTCCTTGTTCAGAGATGGTCTCGTAGTGAGTCGGGTGCCCACTATTCCCTTGGCTACCGAGAAAAGAACAAAGAACAGGACGTGAACACATCTCAAGTGCTGTCCAACATGCCCATGTTCACGTACAGACCAGGTCCACACCAGTACTGGGAAGTGGAGAAACCAAAAAAACTGCTCTGATTTTAAACTATCAATTAAAGACAAAAATATAACAAACTATTTCACCTGAAATCAATTTACGCTGATTATGAGGTTTGAAAACTTTCAGCTTGTGACTATAAAAGCGCGCTATATCGCTGAGCTTTTCCATTCCTTCCAGTTCTGATTTTTAGAGAGTGCTCTGCAAACATAAGCCTAGTATCGTAATTTGACCGCTGCAATTTTTTTGTGCTAGAAATGACTTCCAAACATATATATGATAACAAATGAAACTGAAAAGAATTGAATGGTTTCACGAATTCTGCATTTGTATTTTTGTTTGTGTAATGACTTCACTTGCAAACAAATTATTATTATTATAAACAAAAGTTATCAAAAAGCTACGAACTTTTTGTTTCAAGGTTCTCATTGATGTTTCCTGAAACCTCTAGCTAATCTTAAATAACATTTTACTGAAAGTTCCGGTCTTTGCGTATCTGAAAGTCTGGTATCTGAAAGTTCCGGTCTTTGCGATAGTTTCCATCTCCTTTGGAAGATTTCGTCGAAACAATATTCTTCGAGTAAAGAATCTATCTTTACCTCAATGGATAGTCGCAAAATGGTTGAAGTTTCAGCAACATAATATTTAATTTAGATAAAATATTAAACACTACAATTTCCAAAAATAATAAACGAAATCATAATAATTTTTGACGATGAAGCTCAGCTATAAATAAATGACTTTTCTGATGTGAAAATGGTGTTGAAATATGGATAAAATCTTGAAACATTGGGGAACCCTTCGACATCGCCGATATTGACTGATCTTCCGTGACATTCCCAAATAAAATTGGACCCAAATCGACTAAATATAGCTTTCGGTATTTCTGCTTTAGTTCTTCCAGATATGATCGCCAGAAATGCACTCCTGGATCGTAGCGAAGCTTGATAAGACAGCTTGTGGGGTCTTTCTTCTGGTTTCTCATTTGTTTAATACATGGAGTGGGGTCGGGCTCGGGTGACTGGTGCTCAATGACAAACACTGCATTTTTACATCGAGTGTATATCAGGCCACTTTATATCATATAACAAAAATTTATATAATACAATATTTATTATAACTTAGATTCGACAATAAACAGTTCCCGTTCGGCATTTTTACCTCGATACATGTTTTTTTAAATCGATAAATCACAGAAGCGTTACAACAGTTTAAATTAGAACTCATTATCAGAGACGCACTTGGGAAAGACTTTCAAAGCATTTCAAATCCAAGGTATTCGCCCTATAGTATTTCAATTCCTTGCCAATATTATACCAACTATTCACTGACAATTGGGATTTTTTCTACAAATAATGCTAGATTTTAGAGAATCCTTGCCTCTGATTGATTGAACTCTTCGTCACTGAATATTAATGGCTTTTCTCATCTCAACATGTGGATTTCTTCCTAATCGACAATCAAATGATTAATAATAGTACAAATGATAACTGCTGTTCAAGAAATACATATTACAAATAAAAACAAAAAAGAATAGACGGTGCGATAGTAGCGCAATATTTTCTGACCCTTTTGACTGATAAAAAAAATTAAAAATCAAGAAAAAATTGAAAAAAGGAAAAATTTAAGAATATTTTTTGTTCTAATTCAAATTAGAATTAGAACAAAATTATTCAGAGCTTTCACTCGAGTAACAGATTGGTGCAATGACAGTTCTCACAGTTGTATTGAATTCGAAAACAAAAACGTACTCTTAGGTTTTAATTTGTTTTTGTATCGATCAATTGTGCGGCGGAATCATTCGAAACCTCCTTAAAAGCCCTGTAACAGCTTTTTTTAAACAATTTTTTCGTAAGTTAAATTGTTTAAGCAAAAATTTGCAGTTTTCTCGAAAACTCTACTCAAAAAATTTCAAACCTACCACTGGTTGTCTTAACAGAAACGTGAAAAAATCCTCTGAAGGGCTAACAAAAAATATTACAAAGCATGTATTAAAAACTTCATCAAATTGTCAAATAATAACTTAACTTTCTCAAACAAAAACTAAAAGGTTTTGTCCAAAAGGTAACACAATGAATTTATTTTCTTGCTTAAATTTTATCGTGATATCAGGATGGCTTAACCAACAACACGATGGAAAGCTCAAAAATTTCAGTGATGGGTTGGATTTTAAAAGAGTTTCTGCTGGATTCAAAAAAACTTGTGTCCAATTTGGCATAATCCTGGAACTTTTTCAATTAAGCAATCGAAAAACAAATGTATAAACACAAGGTGGATTTTGATTTGCGAAAGTTATCTGAATGAAAGACAAAAAACTCTGGAAAGTACTGGCATTTCACAAGCCAGCAACATAGTGGTCGGAAAAAATTTACGGCACCTGGTGCAGATATGTTAAATTTAAAATGCACCGAAGGATTATTGGAGAAACTGGCTCCCGGTTTCTTCATTGTCTGATATACCTTGAGTTGTGTAGGATAGCAGCGTTTCTGCGAATTGAGGGATTGCTCTGCAAAAAAAAACTCTTCCAGTTTTCCAAATTATTTTGAGCTTTCACTCGATGAACAGATTGGTTTAATGACAGTTCGCACATTTTTCTTGACTTCGAAAACAAAAACGTACGGTTAGGTTTTAATTTTGAGTTTGTTTTGGTCAATTGTGCGGCAGAATCATTCGAAACCTCCTTAAAAGCCCTGTAACAGCTTTTTTTAAACAATTTTTTCGTAAGTTAAATTGTTTAAGCAAAAATTTGCAGTTTTCTCGAAAACTCTACTCAAAAAATTTCAAACCTACCACTGGTTGTCTTAACAGAAACGTGAAAAAATCCTCTGAAGGGCTAACAAAAAATATTACAAAGCATGTATTAAAAACTTCATCAAATTGTCAAATAATAACTTAACTTTCTCAAACAAAAACTAAAAGGTTTTGTCCAAAAGGTAACACAATGAATTTATTTTCTTGCTTAAATTTTATCGTGATATCAGGATGGCTTAACCAACAACACGATGGAAAGCTCAAACATTTCAGTGATGGGTTGGATTTTAAAAGAGTTTCTGCTGGATTCAAAAAAACTTGTGTCCAATTTGGCATAATCCTGGAACTTTTTCAATTAAGCAATCGAAAAACAAATGTATAAACACAAGGTGGATTTTGATTTGCGAAAGTTATCTGAATGAAAGACAAAAAACTCTGGAAAGTACTGGCATTTCACAAGCCAGCAACATAGTGGTCGGAAAAAATTTACGGCACCTGGTGCAGATATGTTGAATTTAAAATGCACCGAAGGATTATTGGAGAAACTGGCTCCCGGTTTCTTCATTGTCTGATATACCTTGAGTTGTGTAGGATAGCAGCGTTTCTGTGAATTGAGGGATTGCTCTGCAAAAAAAAATTCTTCCAGTTTTCCAAATTATTTTGAGCTTTCACTCGATGAACAGATTGGTTTAATGACAGTTCGCACATTTTTCTTGACTTCGAAAACAAAAACGTACGGTTAGGTTTTAATTTTGAGTTTGTTTTGGTCAATTGTGCGGCAGAATCATTCGAAACCTCCTTAAAAGCCCTGTAACAGCTTTTTTTAAACAATTTTTTCGTAAGTTAAATTGTTTAAGCAAAAATTTGCAGTTTTCTCGAAAACTCTACTCAAAAAATTTCAAACTTACCACTGGTTGTCTTAACAGAAACGTGAAAAAATCCTCTGAAGGGCTAACAAAAAATATTACAAAGCATGTATTAAAAACTTCATCAAATTGTCAAATAATAACTTAACTTTCTCAAACAAAAACTAAAAGGTTTTGTCCAAAAGGTAACATAATGAATTTATTTTCTTGCTTAAATTTTATCGTGATATCAGGATGGCTTAACCAACAACACGATGGAAAGCTCAAACATTTCAGTGATGGGTTGGATTTTAAAAGAGTTTCTGCTGGATTCAAAAAAACTTGTGTCCAATTTGGCATAATCCTGGAACTTTTTCAATTAAGCAATCGAAAAACAAATGTTTAAACACAAGGTGGATTTTGATTTGCGAAAGTTATCTGAATGAAAGACAAAAAACTCTGGAAAGTACTGGCATTTCACAAGCCAGCAACATAGTGGTCGGAAAAAATTTACGGCACCTGGTGCAGATATGTTAAATTTAAAATGCACCGAAGGATTATTGGAGAAACTGGCTCCCGGTTTCTTCATTGTCTGATATACCTTGAGTTGTGTAGGATAGCAGCGTTTCTGCGAATTGAGGGATTGCTCTGCAAAAAAAAATTCTTCCAGTTTTCCAAATTATTTTGAGCTTTCACTCGATGAACAGATTGGTTTAATGACAGTTCGCACATTTTTCTTGACTTCGAAAACAAAAACGTACGGTTAGGTTTTAATTTTGAGTTTGTTTTGGTCAATTGTGCGGCAGAATCATTCGAAACCTCCTTAAAAGCCCTGTAACAGCTTTTTTTAAACAATTTTTTCGTAAGTTAAATTGTTTAAGCAAAAATTTGCAGTTTTCTCGAAAACTCTACTCAAAAAATTTCAAACTTACCACTGGTTGTCTTAACAGAAACGTGAAAAAATCCTCTGAAGGGCTAACAAAAAATATTACAAAGCATGTATTAAAAACTTCATCAAATTGTCAAATAATAACTTAACTTTCTCAAACAAAAACTAAAAGGTTTTGTCCAAAAGGTAACATAATGAATTTATTTTCTTGCTTAAATTTTATCGTGATATCAGGATGGCTTAACCAACAACACGATGGAAAGCTCAAACATTTCAGTGATGGGTTGGATTTTAAAAGAGTTTCTGCTGGATTCAAAAAAACTTGTGTCCAATTTGGCATAATCCTGGAACTTTTTCAATTAAGCAATCGAAAAACAAATGTATAAACACAAGGTGGATTTTGATTTGCGAAAGTTATCTGAATGAAAGACAAAAAACTCTGGAAAGTACTGGCATTTCACAAGCCAGCAACATAGTGGTCGGAAAAAATTTACGGCACCTGGTGCAGATATGTTAAATTTAAAATGCACCGAAGGATTATTGGAGAAACTGGCTCCCGGTTTCTTCATTGTCTGATATACCTTGAGTTGTGTAGGATAGCAGCGTTTCTGCGAATTGAGGGATTGCTCTGCAAAAAAAAATTCTTCCAGTTTTCCAAATTATTTTGAGCTTTCACTCGATGAACAGATTGGTTTAATGACAGTTCGCACATTTTTCTTGACTTCGAAAACAAAAACGTACGGTTAGGTTTTAATTTTGAGTTTGTTTTGGTCAATTGTGCGGCAGAATCATTCGAAACCTCCTTAAAAGCCCTGTAACAGCTTTTTTTAAACAATTTTTTCGTAAGTTAAATTGTTTAAGCAAAAATTTGCAGTTTTCTCGAAAACTCTACTCAAAAAATTTCAAACCTACCACTGGTTGTCTTAACAGAAACGTGAAAAAATCCTCTGAAGGGCTAACAAAAAATATTACAAAGCATGTATTAAAAACTTCATCAAATTGTCAAATAATAACTTAACTTTCTCAAACAAAAACTAAAAGGTTTTGTCCAAAAGGTAACACAATGAATTTATTTTCTTGCTTAAATTTTATCGTGATATCAGGATGGCTTAACCAACAACACGATGGAAAGCTCAAAAATTTCAGTGATGGGTTGGATTTTAAAAGAGTTTCTGCTGGATTCAAAAAAACTTGTGTCCAATTTGGCATAATCCTGGAACTTTTTCAATTAAGCAATCGAAAAACAAATGTATAAACACAAGGTGGATTTTGATTTGCGAAAGTTATCTGAATGAAAGACAAAAAAACTCTGGAAAGTACTGGCATTTCACAAGCCAGCAACATAGTGGTCGGAAAAAATTTACGGCACCTGGTGCAGATATGTTGAATTTAAAATGCACCGAAGGATTATTGGAGAAACTGGCTCCCGGTTTCTTCATTGTCTGATATACCTTGAGTTGTGTAGGATAGCAGCGTTTCTGTGAATTGAGGGATTGCTCTGCAAAAAAAAAATTCTTCCAGTTTTCCAAATTATTTTGAGCTTTCACTCGATGAACAGATTGGTTTAATGACAGTTCGCACATTTTTCTTGACTTCGAAAACAAAAACGTACGGTTAGGTTTTAATTTTGAGTTTGTTTTGGTCAATTGTTCGGCGGGCTCATTCGAAACCTCCTAAAAGGCCCTGTAAGAACCTGTTTTTTAACCCATTTTTTTCGTACGGTAGAGTTTTTGAATAAAAAACTTGCAATTTCCCAGAAAATTTTAAACCTGCCCCTGTCTGTCTTAATATAAACGCAAAAAAATCTACAAAGTTGCTAACAAAAAAATTAGGAACTATGTATTAAAAACATCATCAAATTGTGAAACAAAAACTAAACTCTCTCAAATAAAAATAAAACCGTTCCTGTTCATTTGAACCAACATCAAGACGCTGAGCTTAACAGTTTTAGTCATGGGTTGCAGCGTTTCTGTGAATCGAGGGATTGCTCTGCGAATGAAATCCTTCCAATTTTCCCAGCTATTTAGAGAGTTCTTTTGAGGAACATATTGGTTCAATGACAGATCGCACATTTGTAATGACTTCGAAAACAAAAACGTACGGCCAGATTTGAATTTTGTGTTTGTTTCGATTAACTGTGGGGCAGGATCTTTCGAAAACTCCTAAAAACTTTGTAAGAACCAGTTTTTTAATCAATTTTTTCCGTAAGGTAGTGTTTGAAAAAAAAATTTTGCATTTTATTCGGAAGCTTTACACAAAAAATTTTAAACCTACTTCTGTCTTAAAACATAGCGAAAAAATCCACGAAGTTGCTAACACGAAAGTTACGAACTGTGTACTAAACAAAACTTCATCAATTTGTGAAATCAAAACGTAACACAATTGAATATATTTTCTTGCTTCAAATTTGTATAATATCAGGATAGATGAACCAAGGGTTCGATTTCGTAAGATTTGTCGCTGGATTCAATCAAATTTGTGCCTAGTTTAGCCTAAATTTGGAAAAATTTCCAATAATGGATTCGAAAAAAATGAGGAAGCATTAGGTGGATTCTGAACAGCAAAAAAATTATCAGAGCAAAAAACACGAGACTCTGAAAAGTACTCTGAAAAGTACTGATTTTACAAGCCAGCAACATAAATTGAAAATTAAATTGCCTTTGGATTCTAAAAAGAACAAAAAAACTTGTCAGTAGTTTTGTAAGCTTTATTGCTTGCAATTTCCTCATGTGTTTGAGGAAATTGCAAGCAAAACAGCATAGTTTTGTGATCTGTAAAAAAACTAAGATGATGTCATTAAAATTTTCAACACCGATTTATTGTTTTCATATTCAAAAATCAATTGAAACACATCTGAAAGGGTCTTATAAAAATCTATCAGTCAACACAATCCAGCCAAAAGATTTTGCCAAAAAAAAACACAAAACTCAGATTCTTCATTCTTCAGGGGTCGGAACAAATGTACACTAGTAGGTAAAAGCGCCACTGGCTCAGATATATTGAATATAAAATGCTCTAAATAACCATATGAGACAGTCGGTTTCTACAGGGCTTGATATACCTGGAGTTGTGTAGGGCAGCACAGTTTCTATGAATTTAGGGATTGCTGTGCGAATAAGATCCTTCCATTTTTCCAAATTATTCAGAGCATTCACGCGAGGAACCGATTGATTCAATGACAATTCGCACACATGTATTGACTTTGAAAACAACAACGTAATGTTAGGTTTCAATTTTGTAATTGTTTCCATCATTTGCGCGGCGGGCCCGTTCGGTCGGGTTTGCGTCCGCTTAGCTGGACCTCTAAACCTTTGAGAGTCGACTGGAAAATAAAGCGAGCCAGGGTGTCCGACTGTTAAATAACTTGCAGATATGTTGCACTTTTTGTGCACTTTGTTGAAGGCTTCTTTCCAAGATAGCGCATAAGAATCACCCACAAGCAGAACACTATAAATTGAAAAATTGCAACTGAAGTTGTTTGGTGAGCCTAGAGAGCCAAAATCAGAAATGAGCCGATGATTTTTTACGCAACTGATTTTGGCAATTTGACCTTAAAACTTTCTAAAGGCTCCAATATATACTATTTTTTTCTAATTTTATTATGCTTGCCCAAAATACTCGACTTGCAAAAAACCCTGAAACGTAATTTTTTTAATTTTTTTTTTCAAAAGTCAGCTTGTGACGACGCATCAATATATTTTGAGCTGAGATAATTTTCATGCCTGGGACGACGAAAGTTCAGGGTCCGACTCCGGTCAGGACTTTTTCCTTTGTCAAATGGAAAGATTTTTTCTTCAAAAATTTAAAAGTCGGCCTAACGATTGCCTGCTTGATTTTTACTTACTGTAATTGAAAATCTTTTTGAATCAACCCTGTATTTGTGCAAGTAAATCAGTTCTTAGAATCTTTGTTAATTTTTGACACTAAATATTAAATTTTCAGATTTAAAATTTTAGTGCGAGTTTTATTTGAGCTTCTAAGTAGTTTTTTATTCTTTTCCTCAGTCACAAGAAAGTGAGTACAGAAGCGTTACCATATATTTGTTAACTCGCATTTACTCTGATTAAACTCTAAATTTTTAGTAGTCGAAAAAACTATCAGGCGAAATAATCAAATCTGAAAAACTGTAAAAACTTTTTCCAATATAATAATAACTACTTAGAAGCTCAAATAAAAACTCGCACTAAAATTTTAAATCTAAAAATTTAATTTAGTGTCAAAAATTAACAAGAAATGATTCTAAGAAAAGATTCTAAATAAATGATTTACTGAGGAATTACTATGTTGGAAAAATTTTTTACAGTTTTTCAGATTTGATTATTTCGCCTGATAGTTTTTTCGACTACTAAAAATTTAGTGTGTTTTTGTATTGCAAACAATGCCCACCTCCGCTTCATCTTAATTTTAAAAAGCCTCTCTTTCGAGACGCACCGCTGACTAACTACTCTAAAAAACTTGGTTTTTTTTGATGAAACGTGAGATATTCTTCAGACGCTTTGACGATAGCGACGAAACTCAAGGGAAGCCCGCTATTTTAAAATAAGAAATAGGGTCTTCTTTGTTATAAGGCCCAGTGATAACTGCTATATCGAGAGAGCTTTGGCACTTAAAACAGAAATGAATCCGCAACTATTGTAACAGGTTATCTCAAGATCTTAACCAAAAATGATGCCAAAAGACTGCCTCATAGAACCAGATTGAATATTTGAGACATGAAATCCCCAAAATTGAGGGCGTCTGCTTCTTATCAAATGCCCGCCAAGAAATTCCCCAAAAAGTGTTTTTCAGTCAAAAAGTTTTACCTAAATAGGGCCTTGAAGGTGTTTAAGGGAGAGGGTGGAAATTAACATGGTTGGCCTGAAAAAAGGCTGAAGCATTTGAAAAACCAACTCCCGAGAAAAACCTAGATCTGCCCCTGCTAGCAAGTAAGTTCACCTGCAATTTTTGTTGATATAGGAGCATAAATTGGTCGGAGTAATCGCGTCCTTTTGCTGTAAGTCAGAAATCGATTGGTTAACATTGAGTTTCGTTTTAGCATGCATAGGTTCCAAGTTTTCAAAACTATTCGTATGCTCTCCAATAAGTAGGTTCAAAATAACAGGTTGAATTAGAGTTAGAGTCACAAAAATAAGAATAACATGTTTCGGTGAAGTGATTCGGCTGCATAATTTCTTTGTCGGTTCTTCTATGAATTTACCGATGAGCACCGCAAAACAAAGTGAGATGAAGAAAATTGACAGAGGCCTCGCAGAGCAGAGTTTTGACAGCGCTAGTATTTCAGTCATTCACTTACTAAGGCCTGTTCCAAAAAACTTTTGCGATAAGGTTATAGCCAGTGTTGTGATTATGTTTTTTCATTATGTTTTGATCTTGACCTCTATGTGATAATTACGTACCGGTCAATGTTTGCCGTTCGAAGTCCAGTGGACTTCGCCTCACTAGTTGTTGTTCTTTTTAGACATCAGTCAGTTTTACTTCAATACCTTATTATAGTCTTTAAACTTAGTTTAGTTAAATTAGATTACCAGTGGCATTGGCACACTTTTATTAGCCAATACTCTATTTTAAATCAAGTTTGCTCCAGCTGTGTTGACGGTCGTCAAAACTTGTACCGAAAAAAATCTGCACTTGATGAAATGTGATAAAATGCCAGTTTGGGTTTTTCTTTGGATTTTTTAAAGTGGTTATAATGTTTTTGGCACCTGCATTTGTATGATGATTTAAGGGTTGCGGCAAATGTCAAAAAGTTTGAAATGTCTGACAATAAAAAGACAAAAGTTTTCAAAATGCCGCTCTCCTCAACGTCAAAAATTTTCTGCGCACACATCTGCAGGTGCCGAAAAACAATAACAAAAAAGAAAACATCCAAAAAAGTGCCCAAAATGGTATTTTATCAAAATTCATTAATCCATCTGCAAATGGTGCGAGACATTTGTCTCTAAAAAAGTCCTTTATTTTTGCTTTTTTTAATCGAAATAAGTTGATGTTCTTGAAAGTTCGAAGTTTAAACAATGGTTAGTTGATTTGATCAATAAAAACATCAATAGTAAGAAAATTATTTGGGACATACAGTGCTTATTTAAATTATCTGGACTAATGTAGGAAACAAACTGGCAAAAACAATAATATAATTGAAAAAAAAATCTTTTAAGTCAAATTTAACGGTTTGTTTATAAACTCCTGTCTCAATGAATTTTGAAATCAAAATTGAAAACATATTAAAAACTTTTCTTTAATTCTTATGATTTTTAGTTTTTGCTGCGTAAATTACAGAGAAACACCAAAAATTTTTAGGAAAATCTGGTTTTCTCAGACAAAAATATCATTCAATTATAATCCAGCGCGAAAGTTCATGCGGAACGACCACCAAATATACGTAGTCATTGTATCACTCCAACAGCAAATTTTAGTGCAAATAAGCTGGTATTTCGGAGCTACATAAAAATTTCTGGGTAAAGAGATATTATAGTCATCGTTGGAAACGTTAATTTGGCCAAATTTTGCGATTTAATTGAAAATCACATGATAGAAATATTAATCTTGACAAAAATTTTGCTGCAAGACAATGCCAGTTGCTACACTTCAGAAAATTCGACAAGTTTTACCAGTTGAATGTCTTCAAGTTTTGAAAGATTGGCCCCTGTAATCTCCAGATTTGACAATTGTTGAAAATTTACGAGTTGTATGAAACAAAACATTCGTGAAAAACACCCTACAACAGTTAAAGAACTTATTTGTCAACATTTTGAAACATATTTGACAATTACTGCCGACTACATTCATCTTTCAAATCGGAGCAGTCGTAGTAGATTAAATACAGTGTTAAAAACTGTTTCCAAACCAAATACAAATTTTAATGATTTTTTAAAAATTTTAGCTGTATGTAGTGATTTTTTTCAAAATTTTACGTTTTGTTAAAAAAAGTGTTAACTAGGTGTTAATATTATTATAGTTCTCAGTTGTTACACAGTTTTTTAGTCCGATTAAGTTAAATCAGCACTGCATGACACAAAAGACCCCTACTTGCCGCAATAGATCATCTCTAGAATAGATCGTAACAAAAAATGGTGCCAAAACCGAGCCTCATAGGACCAGATTGACATATTTGAGACGTTAGATCGCCAATTTTAGTAACAGGCAAATGAACTAGATAGATGCCATAAGAGTATCGACCAATAAGACATAAATAGTAGCTGTGGAAGAAATATCGCTTTATTAATCCATCTTCCGCTGAAACTTCCAAAATCAGAATTAAACTAAAAGTCATTAATGATCCAATAAATCCAAGATAAAGAGACGAAACGTCCGATTTCATCAAAATAACTAATTTAATGATAATAAAATGTCCCGATAGAATATCTGCCAGATATTTGGATGACTGGTTTTTGAGGAAATTTGAATATTTGGCATTGTTTTCCCAAATTAACACTAGAACGGAAGCAACAGCACCAGCGCAGAATTGGTAAACTCGACCTACTGTTGAGAAATAGTAAGCCATTTGGTTATAACCAGACAACTTGACATCTAGAATCACAAAACCAAATGCAGATGCGACAAAGAAGCCCAGAATATGAGGTAGTTTCTTCTGTAGTGCCAGAACTACACACCAAAGAATGATCGGGAAAACGAGATAGTATTGCTCTTTAAATTAATTCTATTAACTTCAGGCTGCCGGATCCTCAAATCTTAAACAAAGTACGGGGAGCACATCTTAATGGTATAAACTTTCAAAAAGACAATTTTTCAAAAAAAAAACATGATTTTGCAAACTAAGCCTTTTAATAAGTTTTGCAAAGCAGTGAAGAACAATCCCCATAGCTTTCGGATGTTGGCTTTTTAGGTGGCTTAGATAACTCGGGAAATCAAACTGATTCTAAGAAAAGGCTGGCAAAACTTTTGTTTTTTAAATGATCCTAGCCTTTATAAAAAGTCTCCTTGTGATTGGCATTCTCGATCTAATTTTGGCAAAACACATTGAGTTTCTTTTGCATCATACTGGAGGGTTAATGCACGGAGTCGCTGTTATATGAAAAGATTTTAGAATGATGTACACACAAGTTTCGTGGTTCGCAGAGTCATCATCATTGATATCTTCATTTTTTTGTTTGAAAGGCAGGATCTTGACTGAGAACAACGAAGCAACAAAGGGAGAATTTCGCTTATTTTTTTTTCGTAAAGGCTACAATGGTCACTATCTTGAGTGGCGCTTGATGGCCAGAATTTTTGGCGAAAGAGACGATTACGAAAACTAATTTTTCTATCGACTGGTATTTTTTTGCGAGATCACACGAGAACTCAAAATTGAACCCCAAAAATGTTATGTTGCAAACATGAATCTTCAAGCTAAATTATGCAGCCTAAAGTTAATGAATTTCCTTCAATCGATAGAGACCAAAAATGAACTACTGGAGATTGATCGGTGCCAGCATCAGTGAAATAATCCAGTGCAATATGTAAGCCATACCAGTTTTGGCAATACAGAGCCGAGGCGATAAAACTCGGTTTGTGTTGCAAAACATACTCGGGTAATTCGAATATTTTGTAAGCAACTGCCGTTGACGTCAAAACGAAAGATGAGGCCGGAAATAATCGAATAAACCTCCGAGAGTAAAACTTGGGCAAATCAATTCCACCTATTGGCAAAGTTAACTATTGTTGTTCTTCACGCTACCCATGTTGACAAAAATACTTATCATACAAATTCATGCTTTGAAAAAAATCGTTCATCAAACTACTTCAAATTTTTTTTAGACCAAGAAAATAGCACGAAAATAGCATGATAAGCATTTTCACACAGAATTATATACCAAAAACGTAACTTTTTGAATATGGCAAAAAAGTTTTTACTTTGAAAATTTCAATTGTTGATGAAAGAGGCCTGGTTTTTAAGCCAGTTTAAGATAACTTTCAAAACAATTCAATTGAAAAAATGCTTGTCATACAATTTTCCTCTATGAAAATTGTATGATAAGCTTTTTTTTCCATAGACTCCATATATGAAAATGTAAGAAGTTGCTCTGAAGTTGCATGGTTTAAAATCGACTCGTTTTTTATGTTCTAAGTAATAAAATAGTAAATAAGTAATAAAACATCTGTCAACGTAATAAAATAAACCAAGTAATTAAACAGTTTTTAGAGGGAGATGAAAATTGGAAAAGAGCCTAAAACTGATTATAATTCATTTTTAATGCCAGTCTCTCAAAAAGAGAAAAATTACCGGCTATAATTTGTTTAAAATGAAGTTTTTATTCTAATTTCTTATAATTTAATTATAATTTGACAAAAACTTGTACGAAAAAAAACTTAAAAATGAGTATCCAAATGAAATCAAAAATCTTCAGTACGAGGTAGAAGATTTGCGTAAACTTGTTTTTGAATTGAATGACAGTTTGAGGAAGCATAAAAGTTACACTCGAAAGGATAGTGTATTAACCTTAAGCCCGCGTTTTAGTGCTCGAAAATTTTTGGATCAAAACGCTGTGAAATTTGTTTTGAACATTTGAAAATCGAGTGTTTTGATTGTCGAGATTTAAAAGCAGTCCATATTGTACCAAGATGGGAGCCTCCTTCATATGGAATGATGTCTTTAGTGAGAATAGAATTCATCAGTTGAAGCTAAAATTGAATAGTAGGGGATGTGTAGCACATTCAAGAAACTACAAAAAAGCGTTTTATGCAAAAATAGAAGGGGGAGGGAACTGTGTGTTCCATTCAAACACCAAACTGATATCGAAAAAATGGATAACCCGATAAGAAGAAGCACTTTTTGCTGAGCAGAAAAAGTAAACAAAAAAGTTAAAGCAGAAAGAAACGTAGTAAGACATTGCCTGCATAGGAAAGCAAAAAAGCAAAAACATGAAAGCAAAAACAATTTATGAGTTGAAGAAAGAAATAGGAAAAAATCAGACAAACTTTGTAAAGAGTTGCCTGCTTGAAAAAAAATTTTGTTGATCAGTTAAACAGAGCAACTGGGTTAGATTTTTTATTATCCAACTATAAAGTGTCCAAAAGTAATAATAAATTTAATTGAAGATGATGTAACTAGTTTTTTAACACACGATTGGGATTTTTTTGCCTGAAGTTTTGAAGAAAGTTTTCGAAAAAAAAATATTATTTCACCGATGAATTAAATTGTGTACAAAAAAGACTCCAAAAGTTTAACTCAAAACAAAAAAAAATAAAGATTCAAAGGACAGCTGGAAAAATTGACGAAAAAACTAGTATTTTTTCACAGATTTTGCCTAGCAACTTCTTCGAGAAATCATGAAATTATAGAAATAGGACATTTTAGCAGACAATTTCTTCAGTTTGCTTGAGTTTTTCTTTTGCCAATAATTTGAAATCCTGCAACTCCAAAAAATTCTAAGATAAACTTGCTTAAATTGTCCCGACTTCTCAAGTTTGTCTGTATACGAAAACTACACAGCTAGATTAAGTAAAAAATATTTCTGTAAAAAATATATACTGGCCTCAGTTAAGATTTAAAAGTTTTCATAACGTGGGCACGGAGAGATTAGAGAGACTACAGATTCAAACATTTATAAGATTTGAGGAAGTTTAAAAGAAAAAAAGACACCAGCAATTATTTCATAAATATGGAAACTCGAAAAATGATTTAGATAAAAAATATGCAATCAGTCACCAAAAAGTTTCTACAGCTAAAAATACAGCCATAAACTGATTTTTAATCGCTTTCA